ACTTTTACTTACTCCCAAGTTCAAAAATATTCTCCTGTTCTTGCTTCTTAAAGCTCTTAGTTTTTGCTTTTTTGTTTTAGATCTTGATCCATCTCAAATTAGGGTATTTTTTGTGTGTAGTATGAGGTATAGGGGTCCAAGTTAATTTTTTCTCATATTGTTATACATTGCTCCAGCACAATTTGTTGAAAAGACCTTCTTCTTTCACATTAGATTGCATTGGCACCTTTTATAAAAAATCTAACTACTTTATAGATGGGGATCTATTTCTGGAACAATGATTGACTTTTGATATATTTAGTTAACTTTGCATTCCTGAAATAAGCCCCCATTTGGTCATGATATGGTATCCTTTGACATATAAGGTTATACTAGAGTCATAAAACAAATTGGAAAGTGTTCCCCTTTTTATCTGTTTTTTGGAAGAGTCTATATAAATTCTTTATCATGATGAAATCATCTTGACCTAAAATTTTCTTTTTGAGAGGGTGTGTAAGTACAGATTAAATTTCCTAAGTAGTTATAGGACTTTTCAGATACATTTTCTCCGTGGGTCAGTTTTGGCAATGTATATTTTTCAAAGCATATGCCACTTCCATTGAAGTTGTCAAATTTATTGGGAAGTTGTTCATAATGTCTTTTATTGTCTGTGTATTACAGTGATTGCTTTTTAACTAGTGCTGCTATTTACTTTTTTCCTTCCCCCACCCACTGCCCATATATACTGTATTTTTTCTTTTTAATACTTTCAAGTTCTTATTGAGGAAAAGAATCCATAGTAACTACTCTGAGCAGAAAGAGTTTTATTAAAGGGCATAGATAGTTCACAAAACCTTTGGGAATCCCTCAGCAGAAAGTAGCTTAATTTTACCCATTAGAAGGGTGGAACTTAATTGAAAGGAATATCAAAATGTGGAGAAGGGGACCAGAACATTTGGGATAGCCGTAAGTGAGATTCCATTACAACCTCTGCATGAACCAGCCATAACACAGAAAAGGAGTTTGTTACTTGGGGCTTTTGATATCTATTATTTATGTTACATTTTTATGGACTTCTTAAAAAGTAATTGGATATATTATCTTTGATTTTCCTTTAAAAATAAAATCGAACTGTATAAGGTATTTCTAATTTTAATACCCTATAGTTTATTTTTATTTTCTGAATGCTAGTTATCCTTATAATTGGAAACATTGTTTCTACTCAAAATGGTTTCTATACTCAAATTTCAAGTAATTTGCTTTGACCTGTTTTGCACTAATTTCTGTTGTGCCTTGTAGGTGCTTTTAAATACCTTCTTTTAAAATTTAACAATTTTTGCAGTATAATATGAATAAGTGATTTATTCTCCCTTCCTGAGTTCTATAATGTGGAAATTGAGCACTTCTTAATGGTTACTGTCTATGGCTTTTTAAACATTTTTTTCCTGACATTTTTAATAGTTCAAAGTTTTTTGAAATAGTGAATTTGGATTTTTAATGGAAGGATGAAGAAGTTTATCTCCCAGCACATTAGTGGATTTGAAGGAGAACAAAATTATACGTATTTACATTTATGTTGTACCTTTTTGTATTAATTTGATTAGGTAAAGAACAAGCCAATTTGTTGTATATATACTTCATATACAATAACTTTTCCTTTAAGCCTTCATTTCTTGTTCATTATCTTTACCCTCTGTTTAATGTGAGGATCAGCTCTACTTTTTAATGCATTTTTGAAAATAAAATGATCTAAATGTACATTAATTCCTAATTATTAGGGTTCCTTCTTTTGGGATTCAATCTGCAAAGCTTTTAGAGAATGTTATAAATGACAAACTTTTTTAATAAAGGGGGAAAAACCCTCAAAAGATCATTTTCTAAAATCACATGGTGAATCAGAGAAAGAGCTGAGGCTTATCTGTCTATATAGCCCTTCAAGCAACCCTGAGGCCTACTTGGTAGAATTCTTCTATTTGTACCAGTAGGCTTGTTGGATGTTGTTTTTCTCTTGATAATGCATGTCAGACTATATTTTAGAGTTTTCTGGTAGACTCCTGAGGGGAGGAGCAGAGGCAGTATCCTGAGTTTTTCTTTTGCTGGAAATTCCCCAGACTTGATAAAATCAAAAGAAGGGTTCTTAGGATTCTTGCCCAAAAGAATGAAGTTATGGAGCTGATTATGCTCTTTGAATGCAAGGAACATGTCCTGTTTGTTATTGTCTCCTCTGAAGTGTCTAAAGCATAATAAATACTCAGTAATATTGCTGAGCTGAGATGAGACTGTGAATCATTTGATAAAGTAAAGGCAAAAGTGGCTCTTTGACATACCAGAGACAACTAATCTCTAAAAGGCCAGGTAAGTTAGTAAGGGCACTGACCCGTGTTCTACCAAGAAGTAGAAACGTGTCCACTGAGTTGTGTGGGTGCAGGACTGTATCCATACACATTTCTGGCACAGCTACTGATCCAACTCCAAATCATTTATCGAATTGTCTGGAACAGTCTGCATGTTCCCTTTTTAAAGAATGAAGCTACGTTATATGAGCTCCTTTAACTCTCTTCCATTGTCCCTTTCCTGCCTCCTCTAGAAACTAATCACATCAGTTGTCTTCCTCTTTCAGTATCTTCAATTTTACTTTCTTGAGTTAGTGACACATATTCTTCTGCCATTATTTTGAAAGCTTTCCTACCCTTACAAAAAAGCCTTCCCTTGACTCTGTTTTTCCCCATCCTACCATCCTGACTTCCCCTGCCTTCCCTCTTGTAATAAAAAATTACACAAACACATTTTATTCACTTCTCTTATACTTTATGCAATGTACTCTACCCCATATTTATTCTTCTTGACTTTCCTTCAGCTTTGACATGACTACTTTTATAGCCTCATATAGTAGAAGGAGGTAGGCTTTGGGGTTGACAGGTGCTTCTGTGTGGCCTCAGACAAATTAATACCAGAATCTGGTTTCCTCATTTGTAAGATGTGCATACATGTGAACATACTTGCTGGAGAGCTGAGGGAAGTGTGTTCAACAAATGTTTCTCTCTCTCCTTCCCTATTTTGCTTGGTTTCTGATACGGTACACTATCTAGCATTGCCACAACTTATGAGGTGTGTAATAGTATTATCCCCTTATCCCCATTTCACATGTGAGGACCCTGAGATCAATCACATGGTAAGTGGTAGAGCTGGGATTTCGCCCCCAAGTGTCTGAGCTTAGAGTCCAAACCTGAGGCTCTGTGCTAGCCACTGGGATACTAAGGGTTGTGGAAACTCAGTTTGCCTGGGTTGTCAGGACACCAGGTTTCTTCTTACATGACTGTCTGTCTTAAGAAAATATCTTTAGTTACTATTTCATGAAATATCTGAACCAGTGGGGATTTCTGAATGAAATTTTCTTCTTTTCTTTTCGTGTGTGTGTAACAAGCACAGAAACTGGGGTACTGGAGTGGCCTTTTTTATGAAATAGATTGGTAGCCAACTGAGGAAGCATAGCAAAGACAGAGTTTTGTGTGTTGAGAATTTTAGAGGCACATGGAGTGCCACCCCAAGGTACAAGGACCCAGGCAGTCAGCGTGACGGGGGCAGTGCTGAGCGACAGACCTGCGGGCTCGTATGCAGCACCGTGGGAGAGAGGATTGTAGCTCTGTTGACTTTGCAGGCGAGAGACCATAGAAGGTGGCTGTGCCACTCCTTGATGGACACCTTTTGGCATGTGAATGAAGTTCTTCCATGTGTTCATCTGTGATAATAAGGCATTGGTGTGGCTGAGGAAATCAGTGGTTTTGTCAGCAAAATGGACCCATTGTCTCCTTGCCATGGAAAGGGCGGGCCTCTGAGCAAAGCTGCAGATGGCTGCAGCGCCATTGTCCTCGTGGCTGGCAACCAGCTAGGCAAGGCGTGGAGTAGAACTGCTGCTGGGGCACTGAAAGGGAGCATGTCTGGACCACGGCAGCCAGCGCAGAAGAATGAGTCCTGTGAAGATGAACTGGAGTCATGAAAACCTTAATGTCCTTCCATCCTTATCTTCTCTTCTGCAGCATTGTGGCTGTAGGTAGGATACTGATCTTCCCTGAACTTCCCCTGTACAGTGATCATCTGTTTAAGCTCTGGCAGCTGCCAGCTGAGGTACTGCCCTGTGCATTCAGGCTGTTGTCTGAATCTGTGTGCCAGACTTGAGGATGCTGCAGAGAACCTGGAATCTTGGTGTGGGGAATTCTTTGAACTCAAGAACTAAAATTGTACCTTTGAGACCATTACTCAACAACACTCCTGAAAACTGTATATTGCAAATATAAAGGGAAGGGCAAGCATCAGATTTATACAGCATGTAATGGGCACTCTTGCAGCAGCTGATGGTCACAGTCACACACATGTATTGGAACACTAGAAATAACATCCTTAAACTCAAAAGGAAGTATCATAGCATTGTAGCCAAAGAGTTAGGCCTATAATTTTTATTTTACCAAATCAGAACTGTAGACTACCTCGCTGTTCTGTGAACTATTTTCTCTCCTTACTTCCAAGGTAAGTGGATATATTTATAGGTATAGACTATATAGTTCAGGTAAGACTTCTCTAGAGTTACAAAGAGGGAGAGAAGAGCTATGGTATTTCTACTCTTCTACCTTCTTTATTTTGTAAAGTGAAATGTCCTCTTATTAGTGGTTTGTAAGATGTGTATTCATTTTATTTAAGCAGAATCACTGTTTGCTTACCTAGTTGGGTTCATACTGTATCAGGCAAGCTACAAAATGTAGACTTACTTTAAGTTATAGGTATAGGATTTATTCCACTTGTAGAATGATCTGTTTTGTTACTGTAATGGAGTGGACAACTTTTGGTGCTTTGACAGGATTAGGCTAAGGCATAATCTTACTTTCAGGAGACTGTCATGTGAAAGTACTGTTCAGAAGCAAATTTTAATATTATTAATATCAAAATTCAGTTTATTGTAGAAAATAAACTATTGGGATAAAACTAGTGAAAAACTTTTCTCTTATAGGTCATTAATAAAATGTCTCCAACATCTCTAAAGATCACACTAAGGCAGCTCATGGAGGGGTCTTCAAAGACCTTGCCAGAAGTATTAACTATGGAATATAGGCTGAGTCAAGCGTGTATGGTAAGAATCCTTTTCTAAGTATTGTTATTTTTAGTTGTGAGAGTAATATATATGTTCACTGTAGAACATATATATAAAGTATAAAAAATATAAATAAAATTAAAAATGAGTACCTGTAAATCTACTCAGCTAAAACACAACAGGGCAGTTAGCTTAAGGTGTGTGGAAGTACTGCTCCCAGTTATTAAAACTTTGTGAAACAGCAATTACATTTGCATGTAAGTGTAAGAAGGCCTCTAACCTCATGTGGGATTCAAAATAGAAATTAACCATTTTTCAGGCATGGTCTCTGACCTTGGGCCAGCAGCACTAGTTTTCTAAATCTGAATTCCCTCATTGCTAAAATGAGGAATATATCTAAAATGCACAAATGGAAGTTGTCTATTAACATTTCAATTGACAGATTAGCATTGGAAATACTATTGTAAATACACTTAAAAAAGATAATATCACATAGAATATTATTGATTTCATGAAACATCACTCATACTCTTTAAAAGCAGAATCATCCCTTCTGTGTCCTGTGTAGAGGGCCCTTAGATGAGTAAAATGTGTGGCGTAAAGGACATTTTGTTTAAGAACTAGAAAGTTAGAAATCCCTAATAGACTTTCATTTCTTGAAATAGTTATTAAGGTATTCAAAGTAGTTCATGTAACCACAAATAAATGAGTCATATCTTAAAATCACTCCTTGTCAGCATGTAAATGGCAGGTGGAGTCTATTGTTTATTGTGACTAGGTACCATGCTAGGCACTTTATATGCATTTCTCCATTAAATTTTACTGTCTCTGGGAGGGTAGTACTATTATTGACTCCATTTTACAGATGAGGAAACTGGCAGAGAGAAGTGACCTGCCTGAGGTAGTACAGCTCCTATGTGGCAGAGACATGGCGTGGGAGGCCAGGTGGTCTCACTCCAGGGCCTGCAATCTTAACCACTGACTGCCTGTCTGCTTCACACAGTCCATGTTTTTCACTGTATGTTCAGTGCACTGCCTAGATTGATTGATTCCCTCCTTCCTTCATTCACTTAGCAACACGCTAGCTATGTGTCAGGTACTATGCTAAGCATCATGTTGTTGAAAGAAAGACACAGGCTTTGTTCTAGTCCCCTGAGACTATATAGACCAAGTCAGCCAAGTAAGTAAAATAATTAAAAATTGTGGTAAGTGCTGTAAAGGAAACATACAGGGGAGTGATGGAGAGAATGATGTGAAGACAGGCGTGCATCCAGGCACAGTGGCCATGGCCTAGGTTATAATGGGTGGTAGCAATGGACAGAAGGGAGTTGACTTGAGACGAATGTAGGAGGCAGAATTGGTAGGCCTTCTTGATGGATGTGAGAGGAAGAGTGCATCTAGGAGTTGTAGCTTAGAGGTGTGGGTTAGAGATTGATGTCTGAGAGGCACTAGCATCAGTTAAAAAAAAAACTTTGGGAATTATTTGCTTAATAAAGAAGAGTGCTTACCATGTGCTAGGCACTGTTATAGGCACCAAAAATCCATAGGTAAACAAGACAGATAAAATTCCTGCCCTCGTGGGAGAGAGAGATCATAAAAGCAGATAAATTTGCACAACATATAGTATATGATTTTAAGTACTAAGGAGGATAAAAGGCGGCAGGAAGGAGGACATGGTGCAGAGGAGAATAGCAGCTGAATGTGTACCCAGGTGACCAGAGGCCGTCTCACTGAGAAGATGTCCTTTGAGTGAGAACCCGAAAGAAGTGAAGGAGCAAGCCACGCGGGGATCTGGACAAGCAGCAGCCAGGCAGAGGGCCGGCGGGTACGCAGCTGGAGGCAGGCAGGTACCGAGAGCTACAGCGAGGCCTTGTGGAAGGGGAAGGCCGTGGCCCATGAGTGAGGGGTGAGGTCAGAGCTAACAGGTAGGGAAGGGCTGTGCAGAGCATATATGGCCTTGAAGCTTTTTCTTTTTTTAAGATGTTGGCTTTTGTTCTGAGTAAAATGGAAAGCCACTGGATGTTTTTGAGCAGAGGAGGGACATGATCTTATATTTTAACAGAATTGATCGCTTAGGCACTGATGTTTTCCATATAGAATGGCTAAGATTGTATAGAAATATAATATGAGGAGCCTAGATATGAGCCCTGAGAAATTCCAACATTTTGAGGTAGGCTAGAGGAGAAAGCAGTGGCGTGAAAAAAGACAGAAGTGGGAGAGCCAGCGGAGCATGGTGCCCTGATGGCAGGAGAGGCATATTTCAGGGAGGAGAGTCCTGCCAAAGCACCAGTAGGTGAGGACAGAGGCATCCTTAGCATTTGGAAACACTGAAGTTATGAGTGACCTTGGCAAGCTGTTTCAGAGGAATGTTGGGGCAGAAGTTACAGAGTGGTAAGTTGGAGAGAAAATGGGCACATGGGGTGTGAAGGAAGTGGAGACTGTATGTGCACAGCTTTCTTCTTGAAACAGAAATAAGATAGAAGCTGTAACTGTGGAATTAATTGAGGTTCCTTTTTTTATTGTGTAAGGTAGAAGATACTACAACATGTTCATAAATGACTGGGAATGATCATCCAATAGAGGAAAAAGATTATGTTTATGTTACTAATAATAGTAATATTTACTGAATACTTACTATGTGTCAAACACTGCTGGGGGGTGGATTAAGATAGTCCTATGATGGGTGTATTGAAACTGGGAGTTAGAGAAATTACCAAAGTCTCGTAGGTTCTGTGTAAGAGAGCTCAGGAGGTGAACCCAGACATCTGAACTGTATGCGCTCAGCCGCTAAGTTACACCACCTGCACTGGTGACACCAGGAAAGAGGGATGGATTAACCTTTTTGAAGCAAAGTCCCTGAGAAGATAAAAAGGGATGTGAATGGGAATGCAGGGCCTTTGGAAGGGAATGGGACATCCTCCACAGTCAGGAAAAGGAAGGTGTGGTGCAGGTGGCCGTCATGGGGCTGCGGGTGCTTTCGTAGTGGGAAGAAGGGACTGTTCATGTCTTAGGATTTCTCTTTTTCTAATGAAGTAGAAAGTTAATTCATTAGCTGAGACGATAGTGAGAATAGAGTTTTCTAGGAGTAGAGGTTGAAGAGGCAGAAGACAATTTAAATCATTGTCTCTGGGAGTGGGGAAGAAAGCATGACTCATGGGGCTATTCTCCATGCCTGGTTTAGATTTGTGATCTTGAATTTTAAGTGAAACCAGTCATAGTTGTATGATTCTTCTGCAGCAAAATTTAGCTGTTCAAATGTAGACAGAGGGATGTTGTCAGATTTAGCTGGTGCTGGGATTTTGCCAGGGCACAATAAAAGGGAGACAAAGGCTTGGGGGAGATAAGAGCATTTTCAAGGAAAACTGACCACATTAATGGACTTGGGAAACTGGGCTGGACAGAAGTGAGGCCAGAACAAATGGTGAGAAAGTCGTGGTGTAGCTCAGTAAGATGAGGGGTCTACAGCAGTGGAGATTCTAGAACAATTAAGAATAGTGGCTAGTGATAAGAGAGTGGGTCATCAGAGGGGTCCCGTCTCTGGATGTCATGGGTCAGGTTGTGGCAGGCCAAAGTGGGTGGAGGAGAGACAGCACCAGGAAAAAGGATGCCTAGAAATTCCCCATTTAATCTCTGTTTTCTTTCAGAGAGGCCATGACTTCCATGAAGGTGTTAGGGCAGGTAAGTGGCAGTCATTGCTTCCCGGCTACTGTGGAAATAGGATTTGTGAGCATACCCCTTGTTAATCCAAGGTGATAGTTGTTTTATTAGTAAAAAATTTTATAAACTTTGCAAAGTTTTTTTTCAATATTGCCAACTGCTATATAAGGGAAGATCAGTCTTTGAAACCAACATAGCTTAAAAAATTCACGTAACTTGATCACTGCTCCCCAGTTTATATGTAAGAGATAACTCTTCCCCTGCAGTCACATGGAGCAACTCTGCTAAGTGCAGCTTGAGCTTGAAAACTCCTATTGCTGCTGTGGCCTTTGAAAGGTGCATTTATTCCCTTGCACAAGGGCTTCCCGTCCGCTACCCTTTATACTGACTGGCCTGGCAAAATCCAGCAGTGTTGAACCCTACCATCCACCTCTTTGCCTGTGACTGAGCAGTTAAATGACATTGAGAAAAGCCATATGGCATAATTAGTAATATCTGCTACTGTTCCTATTAATTTCTGTTTTTGCTTATCATTTCCAGAGTCAGCATATTTAGAAAAAGCAAGTGGTTAACTTTTTTTTTGTCCCTAGCATATTACAATAATTTCTTTTCATATATAAGCCTATATCCCTATAAATAAGAGCTGTTACTTATATTGAATAAAATGGGTTCTTTCCCTCTGCATGTGTTTTGCATACCTAATTTTTAAATATTTTTATTAGACATTTTTCTATAATACAGACTCATGGATATACTTTATCAGCATAAAAGGTTACATTTGTGGATCTGTAAGCTTCAGTAAACACTGGTTACTACTGTAGGCTCTCTTAACTTTTGTAATGATATAATATCAGAAATAAACTGAGTTCAGATCTTTTTAGAGGATTCATGGAGTTGAATCAGAGGAGATGGCTGTTTTATAGAAACCAAGTAAAATAGGCATTTTTCACAGTAAGTCCCTAGAAATTCTTGCTTTGTGTGCATCAGAGCCTAGATCTCTGATTTTAGGAGAACCTGTGTGCTACTTAGGTTATGTAGCTAAAGTAGTCATTGTATGTTATAGCAGACCATCTTTAACTTAAGAAAGAAAGGTATTGCTTTTAGATACACTGTTGGTTATTTTAAGATTGTTGAAGCCAGCATGAAAGTTGTGACTCATCACGCAGGTGCTTATCAAGCTACTTTTTAATGAAGAAGAAAGTATATTGCCTCATCTTTTAGCAGAAAGCAGTATCTATTCTGGGTAAAACTGTTTGGTGTTCTTGCATAATCAAATGTTCGCTGCAATTTGCTAATTATAAAATAGGTCAGCAAATTAGATAAAATTAGCAAGTTAGGGGAATGTGGTTGTCAAAATTCTTTAACATCTATAATAAACTCCTCCCTGGTTATAGAAAAAAATAAAAATGGATTAGCAGAGCTAGAGAGCTACCAAATGGCATCTGAATGAGTGCCTCATGAGCCCTGAAAGACCTGAGCTGTCTACGGGGAATGGACTTACTGTATTTATGCTAGGTAAAACATTTAGTTCATTTGAAATAAAATAAGATGCAGATCTCTTTCCTTCTGACCTTCAGTGGACTGTCAAAGAGATAGCATTAAGCCAGAGGGCTTAAAAGGGAAGAGAGTCTTGTAGAAAGTTCCATGATTATTTTTATTTATGCTGCCCAGGGAATGTAAAACTTTCAAATTGGCAGGGATCATAGCATTAGTGTTCAATGTCACCACTGATGTGATACCAGGATCTGCAGTTAGGCAGCCCAACATTAAAAACCTCCAGTATCCATGTTTAATTTTGCCTAAAGCCTCCTTCCCTCTACCTCCTGAGGTAACCCACTTCCTTGGCTCCCAGATTGCTTCTTTAGTTATTTAGACTTTTAATGTTAAATTTACTTTTTTAGGTTCAATGTAGAGTTTTATGTTTATTTTCATTCTTCATGGGAATTATACACACTTGAAGACAGGTTGAAAGTTCCTAGTAAACCATACTAAGGGTAACCCCCTTCGCCACCCCCTGCCCCCCCTTTTTTTTCATTTTTTTGAGATACAGATTCCAGGCAGTTATAAGAAATAATACAGAAAGATCCTGCACACCCCCTCCCATTTTCCCAAATGGTAACATTTGTATAACTCTAGTATACTCTCACAACCAGGAAATTGACATTCCCCTGCTTTTTTAAAGAGGTTACAGATTGCCTCATACTTAAATCCTGTGGGGATACTATGTGGCTACACTAAGTGATGACTACACTGAAATGAGAGTAGAGTTTCTTTGATAACCCGAAGGTGGTCTGGTATTTTATTCAGAGCTGAGTGAACTAGAGGATTCAGCAAAATAGCAGTGTCTACATTGAAATTATGCATAAGGTCCCCTTTTCCTTTCAACTCAATGTGGAAGAGGTTAGAAGGCTCTTGTGGGCCCTCTCCCCTTCCCTGCCTTCCCTTTAAATCATACTAACTCTGGTGTTGGCTGCTTGATAACAGGGAGATTTCATTTATGATTTTAACTGAGGAATAAGAGAAGAGTTCTCAGGTTTACACCAGTGGATTAGTGCAGGAGGCAGTACTCGAGATGGAGGCATCAGGCTTAGCAGGTGAGATGACACACGGAGCATCAGTATGTTGCTATCTATTCAAATTCTGTGGGGGCTTAATTTAGAAGGAAAATGGAACATACACAAAACGTTCAACTTTGTAGAAAAAAATGTGCAATAGACAAATATGCCTAATACAAGGTAGTTCCTGTCACTTCAGTAATTATAATTACTGGTAATACCAGAAAGAAATGTACTAACATTTTTTATGTCTTCACTTGACAGTTTTAATAGATAAAGACCAGAGTCCAAAGTGGAAACCAGCTGATCTAAAAGAAGTTACTGATGAAGATTTGAATAATTACTTCAAATCTCTGGGAAGCAATGATTTAAAATTTTGAGGTAACTGGATTTTTAAGGTATTACTTTGGAGGAGGGGTTGGCAAACTATGGCACGTGGGCCAGATCTGGCCTGCTGCCTGTTTTTATATATCCCACAAGCTAAGAATAGTTTCTGTATTTTTAAGTGGTTGGGGAAAAAAAAATCACTAAAATTTCATGACATGTGAAAATTACATGGGATTCACATGCCAGTGTCCATATGGGAATATAGCTATACTCATCTCTCTACATATTATCTATGGCTGCTTGGAGTAGTTGCAACAGAGACTGTAAGGCCTGCAAAGCCTAAAATACTATCTGGTCCTTTCCAGAAAATGTTTGTCCTTTCCAGAAAAGTTCAGTAATTACGATTACTGGTAATACCAGAAAGAAGTGTACTAACATTTTTTATATCTCCATTTGACAGTTTTAATAGATTAAGACCAGAGTCCAGAGCGGAAACCAGCTGATCTAAAAGAAGTCACTGATGAAAATTTGAATGATTACTTCAAATCTCTGTAAAGCAATGATTTAAAATTTTGAGGTTTTAGAAGATGGAAACATTTCAAGGTCTTTGGAGATTCTTGAGTTAGTATGTCTAACTGAAGTGGGAACTTTGTTTTGGCTTTGGATAGTGGTTTGTGTCTTGTTTAAATAAACATATATAGATTATAAATATAACTGAAATTTTTTGGATTCTGTGGTAATGCTTCATAGAATTTTCTCCATATATAAAAATCTACTTTAAAATAATTAAAAGTTATTGTAGCATTAGAAATCTCAGAAAGATGAGGTTTTTATGAGGTTGTTTCTCCAGTGTCACTAACTCAGTCTTGGCCTCCCCTGATGCTAACCAGAACCTCTTCCTATGGTGAAGATGAAAGCATTATTTCTTGTGTGCAATATCTGCTAATTTGGCAGTTGAGGAATTAGAAAACTCCAATCTCTAAGAGACACTCTGCTTTCTGCAGTTTACATCAGACTTTTGTATAACTGTTATTTGTCCTTGTACAATCAATAGAAGAAAAAAACAAGAGGACTTTTTGTTCAAAATAGAAATTCCTTCACTAATTGGTACTGTTGACAAAATAAGGATTTTTTAAGGTATACAAGAACTGCAAGGTGTTCCAGACTTGGAACATTGAAGTCTAGGTAAGAATCACTTTTAAAGATCAGCTCATCATTTGTTTTAGTTTTTCCTTTCTCCCAAACTCATCAGAAAGTAGGAGAATTTCAGGTTTGTAAGAACTAAAAGTGGTAGAACTGAAAAGACATCAAAGATTATATCCTTTACCCTTCTCACAGATGAGGAAATTGCAGCCTCCAATAAATTGCTTTAAATTTTCTCAGTTCCTAATATATTTAACCTGAAGAATTTTTCTGCCAAAAAAATTCAGGAACAGATTTGAAGCAAAGAAACCATGATAATGAACATTTTTATGTTTATATTCGTAAAGCTCCTAAATTGGACTGAATGATCCAGGAAATTATTTGTATAAGTGGATTTTCATTAACTTTGTACTTGTTAGAAGTGCAGAAAATGTTAAGTCCTTTATGTTAAAAAATTTGAAAGCGCACAATGTTGAAAAGCATTTGCTAGTTAATTGCAACTAGGCTTTTATTGTACAGTTAGAAAATAATATTTCACAAAAATATTTGGAAAAAATATACCATTTGATAGGTAAGTCTTACAGGGAAGAGAATTTGCTAACAAAACTGGAGTTTTGCAGAGGGTACGTAGGGAGTACATCTGAGCCCATGCCCGCTGCTCCAAGGAAGACATGTCCTGTACTGTACACAAATACAGGGTGAGGGCACTGTGATTAAGCAAATGTATTTGTTAGAATTCTGTTTTTAAATTAGTGTTCTTTGACTTATTTATGATGTGTCTCTACCTTTCATTTCTAAAACTATATAATACAAAAGTACAGTTCCCTTATCTCATAATATGCCAATGATACTAAGGATATATGAGTGCCATGCTATTTCATTCATTCATCGTGTTTATTTTTAATACTAGGTAAGGCAATTTGACACAAATTAATTACTTTGCGGCTAAGATCATTTTTATCTCCTTCAAAATTGTGTTTTTAAGTGCTGGCAACCACAGATAGTTTGCAAAGAACTGATAAGGCAACTGCAAGCGGAGCTCTGGGATTAAAGGCCTGTATAACATAACACACAGGTAAGAGTACACACAAGACATGTAAGTGGGGGAGGGGCAGGGAAGGCCTATATAACATAACACACAGGTAAGAGTACACGCAAGACATGTAAGTGGGGGAGGGGCAGGGAAGCACGTTTGTGGGGTCTTGTGTCTCTGTAAATGAGGAATTGGCACATTTCCTCTGATAGTCTGCTGCTTCTCTAGTTGCCACTTGCAGGGTGTCCTGCTGGTGGCAGCTCACCCGCCCCTTTAGTGGGTGTGTTTGAGGGGAAAGAGTCAGGGGCTGGGCATGTGTCTGTGGTAAAGAAAGGAACCTGCTGCCACTGTCTCTTCCCTCAGTTGAAGCCTTTGGAGATTTGTTTTTGCACCGCGTCTTCTGATGGGGCCTGGTGGTAGTGCCGCTGCTCGGGCCCTCTTTTCCCCACTTTCCTTTCCCTTATTATTTAGCCACTATTCTTACTTCATCTATAGTTGTGATGTAAGTTGGAACAATGTTTCCCTTTCCAGTAGGTACAAATTCTTTCAGTCTTCTGTTTTACATTTCTCCTTCTTTCTGAAAAAGTCCTTCTACTCTTTTATTCACAAAAGTTCAAAGTAAAGTGTCAATCCAGTATTTTATAGGCAGGTACAAAAGAAGTTGAATAATCCTATCAGAGATGTTCTCTTCTATCTTGATAACTATCACATGGCAGTACAAATTTGTTTATCCAGCTCTTTGGCCTGCCTGCCCCCAATGGTTTATATACTGACTCATTGATTATGCCAGCCTTGTAGTTTCTTGTCCATGGTTTGACATGTCATATAGCACACTTTTTCAAGAGAAGTCTTATATGTTTGAAGATACTGTTCTCTGTTAAAATAAGTCAGGGGTGAGGTGGCAGTGCTCAGTGACAAAACCATACTGCCACAGTGCCAGGGAAGGTGGTAGCTAGATATGGACCTAGGAGGTAACCCTGTTACATCCCTGGGAAATAGGGGCCCAGGCCAGAGGAGGAACCTGAGGTTCAAATATTCTGATCTAACAAAAACCTGCTAGTCTATACCCCTATGATGCTGAAAAATTTAGTGTAATGTGCTCTTATATACGGCTTTGTGTTTTCCCCGTATTTTACTATCTATCTAAAATACATCTTTGAACAGCAAATGACCTTGCAGCACACCTGTTCTGATGTGAAATATTAAATGAATGAAAAATGGCAACATCTAGGCTTTTGTCTGAATCATGAGTATAAACATCAAAAACCAGAATTTTTTTCACGAGCTGGAAATATGTTTTGCACTTTTGGGAAACTTTCTGTTCTTCTGACTTCAGATCCTGGTATAAAAGGGGTGGTGGGTTTTTCTATTTCATAAGCTGCCAGATTTCAGGTACAACAGGACAGTACAAATCCTGGGACTGGGTGAAAAGAAAGTTGAATGTCCAGGTGTCCAAAGGCACCTGAAAGATGGCTGTCACTCACTCCAAAGAACTGTCTTTGTAACTTGGAGTTTTCACTATTTGTGGGTTTCAGAGTACAACTGTTAAGATTAGAGGCAGCATCTCTGCCTGCTTACAAGGCCAAACACAAATTTATCTCATTGAAGAGGTCACAAGCCTTTTTTTGCCTTCCTTTAGATTTTAATGACAAAGGTCTATTGTACCTTAATAAAAGAATCTAACTCATATGGGCTCAAATAATTCCCTTTCCAGTTAAACTCAGTGTGTTGCAAATCTTACTGAAAAAATAATTCTAGAGACTCAATCCCGATTTTCCTATGACTTACGTCTTCTCACTGTCTTCCCTTCTTCTCAAATGTTACCATTGATCCCAAACATTACTTCTTAAAAAAAAAAAAAGGGGGTGGGTGATGTGTTCTGTGACAGTTGAAAAAAAAAAATTTCAACAAGAGGTAGCCAGACTTATGAATGTAGTATAGTATGTATGGTTGTAAATGCCTTATGGGCACTCTTACTAGTAAAAAAAATACGAGTGCTCTCTTTGGGGAAGTGGTTGATCTTTTGTAGTACAACTATAAATCCTGCATGATCTGCTCTCAGAATGGTGACTGCTCCACTACTCAATGAGTGACTTTATACTAACCCTCTGCATCTGTGAGAGTAAACTTAGTATATGTTCAGCACTCAGACCAGGTTCTGCTTTCTACCTTTCTTACTAGGGCTTCTGTTATTTTAAAATTTACTGGATTGCTGTAAACTTATAAAAGGTACCTCCATATTTGTTCTCTTGTATATTTTCTCAATGGGCTTCTTAATTCAATGCCATAAACATTTATGTCATAACTTCTGTAAATTGTATCGTAAGATGCCTTATATGCAAAGCCTGAATCATCCAGTAACAGCTGTGGTTAGTAAGGACCCTAAAGTTCAATGTGATAGTTAGGCTTTTCATCTACAAAAATATCTTACTAAGGACAGGGTTTAAGGTGGATCTCTTGCTCCATTTGTGTTAAGTAGGGATCCTTGATGCCAATGGTTTTGACAAACAAGACCCACTGTTAATCACTATGGCTTGAGTGCCATTCCCTTGCCAAGGCATTTCTAGAAAAATCTCTTTTGTATCTCGTTTCTGTGTGTAAGTTAACAAGCAGTTATTTTAAAGGAGTGTCTTTAAAATAACCACTTGGAAACTTGGGGCACTTTATTTCTTTGGTGATGCTATTAGTGCCTCAGGAAGCAGTGTTATAACATACAGCTGATTAATGTGGTGCCACAGGACCTATTTTAGCTTTTTAAATGACTAAAATACAAGGTCATGCAGGTAGAAATTGCAATTAACATAGAACTGCTTAAAACATTTCATTTTAGGTTTTTCTATACTCTTAATATTATCATAGACATATTTTACATCCAGATGGAGTTATTTGTATTTATTCACACCAGTTTTTGCTATTATTAAATGTATTTAAACTAGCACCAGCTTTATCCACAATTCACCAAAGTGTCATCACCCTACAGCATCAAGGCCCCTCACTCTCAATGTATGGGATGTCATAGTACTTGATGTTATTGTCTACCCACTGCTTCAAGGCATCGCTCAGGATTTCCTGGGATAGGTGGTGTGCAAATTCAGAGACAATTTGAGGTCCTGAGGGTTCCTTCCCTTCTTCTTTGATGTCAACTGGAGAAGGCATCCTAAGTAGAAGTCCCTCTTCAGGCATAAAGCTTTCTTCACTTGCATGCTGCTTCTCATTCTCAAATGTGGTAGGAAATGGGAAAGTTTGCTTTGATTTCATGCAGCCCATGGTATGAAGAACTTTGACAGAAGGAAAGCAGTAGCAAAGACTACTTCAGCAGCATCTTTGGAAAACACGAGCACTTGTCCACATGATACTGACCAGTGGTTTTCGCTTCCAGGCCACTTCAGAAATCAGTGTTCCCCTTTACTACTCCATACATAGTGTTTATCTGTCAAGAGAAGGGAAGTTTCATTGAAATTATAGAATGTGAAATACTCTATGATTAGGTGCCATGTAAAAGCAATCCTCTTTACTAGTTTGATCGCTTGGAGGAAATGTGAGGTAACAACAGCTTTATCTTATCAATAGAAAAAAAAAATAATAAAGGCAATTTACAAACTAGGAAAACTTTTTTGAGATCTTGAAAGTTTCATAAAACTGAAAACACAGTAAAGCTTTTTCTAGCTTAGATTTATGTACATGAAGATTCAGCAAACTATAGCCTCTGAGCCAATTCTAGTTGCCTGTTATTGTAAATCGTTTATAAAACACAACCTTGCTCATTTGTTTATGGCTACTTTCATGCTACACTGGCAGAGTTGTGTAGCTGTGACAAGAGACCACGGGGCTTGCAAAGCCCCTGCTCTATTCTTTTGAGGGGAACAAGCATATTAAAATTTGCTCCTGCCACAAAACTCAGAAGCCTACATATCTTGGACTGTTGTTAGAGCCAGGCTTTGTGCCCTGGTTAGACCTTTACAACTCAAAGAGTGGGACAGGATGGCCTTTACACTATACAGTAACAGCCCAACTATAAGCAATATAAATTAGACATGGCAGAACCACCTATTTTTTTCTTCTGAATTAGATATTCCCTATGAAATTATATGAAAGGCTCAGATTAAGGTTAAAAGTTTCTTCACCTAGATATCTCTCATTTGGTGTTTGGACAGTAAGTAGGCTGCAGTGTTAGTGATGTGCCTTCTAAGCTTATCATCTGGGTATTGTCACTGAATGAATGCTTAAAGCTTAAGAATAACTAAAACAATACAAAGCAACTTGATTGGAAAGCGGTCTAGCCATAAAATGCAGGCAGTCTCTATGAATTAGATTATGGTCCCTGATTATATCTTAGTTTTTGGACCAAAACCATGGCTCTAAAAATTGATAAAACAAAACCCAGTTGACTATTTCTGAAACCACCAATCTTAAGAAGATAAAAAGTTGCATGCATTTCATTTTTAAATAGTTTATGAAGAAGTCCAGAAAAGGTGACCTTTGCCTGGGTCTTATTATTACTATACATTTTTAGATTTGTAGGAAGTCTACCAATTTCTCATATAGTACTCCATTTGTTCCCCACCTCTACCCCTCATAAGGATGATATGGGGGATAGAAAGGAAATCTAGCTTTCTGATTTTTTAAATTTTTGCAGTTTGCTTTTTAAAATCTTTTTTAAATTTTTATTGGAATATGGTTGATATACATTATCTGTATTGGTTTCAGATGAGCGACATAGTGATTAGATAATTATGTATTTACTAAAGCCTCACCATGGTAAGTGTACTTCACCCGTTAATATTCTCTATACCATACTTCCATTTCTGTGACTGTTCTACAATATGAAGTTTGTTTTCATTCACCTATTTTATCCATTACCATATCTTCCCTCCTGTGGGGTAGCCAGCAATCAACTGTCAGTATTTATGAGTCTATTTCTTTTTTGTTTTATTTATTTATTTTTGGATTCCACATATGAAGTGAATCATATGGTATTTTTCTTTGTCTGACTTATTTCACTTTGCGTGATACCCTTTAGGTCCATCCACGTTGTTGAAAAAGACAAGGTTTCCTTTTTATGGGGTGAGTAATATTCCATTGTTAGATGTACCACTTCTTCTTTATCCATTCATCTATCAGTGGACACTTGGGTTGTATTCACATCCTGGCTTTTGTAGAGTAATGCTGTAATAAATGTAGGAGTGCAAATATCTTTTCAAATTAGTGATTTTGTTTTTCTTCAGGTAAATTTCTAGATGTGGAATTACTACATCACATAATATTTATATTTTTAGTTTTTTTCAGAGGCCTGCGTACAGCTTTCCATTCCAATTTCCATTACTACAGTGTACAAGGGTTCCCTTTTTTCCATATCCTTGCCAACACTTATTTCTTGCCTTGATATTAGCCATTCTGACTAGTATAAGGTGATATCTCATTGTAGTTTTGATTTGCATTTCCCTGATGACTGATGTTGAGTATTTTTCATGTGTATGTTGGCCATCTGTGTGTCATCTTTGTAAAATATCTATTCAAGTTCTCTGCCTATTTTTTAAACATTATTTGTGGTATCGGTATTGAATTGTATGAGTTCTTTATATATTTTGGACATTAGTCCCTTGCATATATCATTTACAATATATTCTCCCAACAATATGTTGTCTTTTTTGTTGATGGTTTCCCTTGCTGTACAGAAGCTCTTTAATGTATTTCCACTTATATTTGCTGCTAGAAAAAAATTACTAATACTGATGTTCAAAAGTTTACTGTGTTTTCTTCTTAGAGTTTTATGGTTTCAGGCCTTACAGTGAGGACTTTAATCAATTTTGAGTTTATTTTTGTATGTGGTGTAAGGCAGTGGCCCACTTTCATTCTTTTACATGTAGCTGTCCAGCTTTCCCACACCATTTATTGAAAAGACTGTCTTTTACCCTTTGTATTCCTGCCTCCTTTGTCATAGATTAGTTGACCATAAAAGTGTGGCTTTATTTCTGGGATTTCTACTCTGTTCCAGCAATCTATGTGTTTTTGCACCAGTACGATAATGTTTTGATTATTACGGATTTATAGTATAGTTTTTAAACAGGGAGTTTTATACCTCCAGCTTTAGTCTTCTTTCTTGAGATAGCTATGGCTGTTCAGATCTTTTGTAGTTCCATGCAAATTTTAGGATTATTTGCTATATAACACTGTGAAAAATGTCATTGGTATTTTGATAGGGATTGCACTGAATCTGTAAATTGCTTTTGGCAGGATGGCCATTTTGACAATATTAATTCTTCCTAGCCATGAGCATGGATAGCTTTCCATTTGTGTCTTCAATTTCTTTTATTGGTGTCTTACAGTTTTCTTTTTAAGCATAAAGGTCTTTCACCTCCTTGGTTAGATTTATTCATAGGTATTTTATTATTTTTGTTGCAACTGTAAATGGGATAGATTTTTTAATTTCTCTGTTCATTATACAGAAACACAACAGGTTTCTATGATTGATTTTGTACCCTACAACTTTGCTGAATTCATTTAATTCTAATATTTTTTTGGTGAAGTCTTTAGGGGTATGTATATACATATACATATATATTATATATACATATGCATGTCATCTGCAGATAGTCACATTTTTCTTCTTCCTTACCAATCTGAATGCCTTTTATTTCTTTCTTGTCAGATTGCCTTGGCTAGGACTTCTAGTACTTTGTTGAATAGAAGTGGTGAGAGTGGGCATCCTTACCTTGTTCTTAATCTCAGAGGAAATGCTTTCAGTTTTTCACCATTGAGTGTGATGTTAGCTGTGGGTTTGTCATATATGGCCTTTATAATGTTTACATATGTTCCCTCTAGACCCACTTTGTTGAACATTTTTGTCATGAATGGACGCTAAATTTTGTGGAATGCTTTTTCATCTATTGAGATGATTATATTGTTTACATTTATTCCATTGATTTTTCTGGTATTGAACCAATGTTGCATCCCTGGACTAAATCCTAATTGCTCATGGAGAGTGAGCCTTTTAATGCATTTTTTAATTCAGTTTGTTAATACTTGATAAAGATTTTTGCATCTATGGTCATCATGGATTTTGATCTGTAATTTTGTTTTTGTAGTGTGTTTTGTTATCAAGCTGATGCTGGCCTCAGATAATAAATTTGGAAGCTTTCCTGCTCTTCAATTTTTTGGAATAGAGTAGGCAAGGTATTAACTTGTCTTTAAGTGTTTGCTAGAATTCACCTGTAAAGCCATCTGGTTCTGGACCTTTGTTGGGAGTTTTTAAATTACTGATTGTTTCATTACTAGTAATTGGTCTGTTTAGACTTTATCCATTTCTTCTAAGACTGAACCAGGAGGAAGTATAAATTCCTTGCAAAATATAGTCTTCCAAGTTGTCCATTTATTGTCATATAATTTTTCATACTTAGTAATCTCCTATAATCCTTTGTATCTCTATAGTAGGAGTTGCAACTGCTCTTTCACTTCTGATTTTGAGTCTTCTTTTTCTTAATGAGTCTAGCTAAAGGCTTATCTACTTTATCTTTTCAAAGAACAACTCTTAGGGTTTTTTTTTTGTTTTGTTTTTGGTCTCTATTTCATTTATTTCAGCTCTGACCTTTACTATTTGTTTCCTTCTACTAACTTCAGGCTTCATTTATTCATTTTTTTTTTCTAGTTCCTTTCACTGTAGGGTTGAGATGTTTCTTCTCAAGGTAGGCCTGTACAACTCTAAACTTCTCTGCTGAAAGTGCTTCTTCATTCCAAAGCTTTTGACCTGTTTCTCTTTTCATTATTCTCCCAGTATTTTTTTATTTCATCTTTGGTATCTTAAATGACCCATCAGTTGTTTAGCAGCATGCTATTTAGCTAAGTGCTATTTCCCCATTTTTTTCTTATAATTGATTTCCAGCTTTAATACAGTTCATCATACTCAGCAAGGATGCTTGATATGATTTCAATCTTTTTAAATTTATTGAGACTTGCTTTGTGCCTAATATGGTCTATTCTGGATAATGTTCTGTACATATATCTGTTAAATCCATTTGGCCTCCTGTGTCATTCAAAGCTACTGTTTCCTTGTTGTTTTTCTATCCAGATGATCTATCCATTGCTGTGAGTGGGTTGTTAAAAGTCCCCTACTATTATTGTATTGCTGTTACCATTTGCTTTATATATTTAGGTGCTCCTCTATTGGGTGCATTTATAGTTATTATATCTTCTTGCTGGATTGGGCACATAATCATTATATAATGTCTCTTGTTAGTTGTTGTGTTGAAGTCTACTTTGTCTAATATAAGTACTACTACTCTAGTTTTATTTTCATTCATATTTGTTTAGAATGTCTTTTTCTGTCCCTTCACTTTGTGCATGTCCATAGGTCTGAAGCAAGTCTCTTTGTAAGCAGCAAATAGATGGGTCTTATTTTTTTATCCATTCAGTCTATGTCTTTTGATTGGAACA